GGTTCCCCTCACCTCCCACCTCTGCCCACATTATCTGCCTCTAGCAAATAATGGTAGTCATGACTGTACCTGTTACCCAGGAGAACACCAATCAATGGCTGTAAAGACATGAATGTATGGTTTTAGATGGTGTCTGCCTGCCTTTGCTGAAAAAGATAAGAAGAGCAAACATTTATATATTACCATTTGTCAGTACTGCTCAAAGCACTTTTATAATATTAAACATTCATGCTGTACTCCTTACAGCAATCACAAGAGCAAGGCACTAAAACTATTCCCATTGTACAGATGAGCAAACTGAGACACTGAGAGATTGGGAACTTTGCCCAGTGAGTAAGTAGGAGATACAATAAGGAGCCACGAGGGCAGGGAGCTCCACTCCTGCCCTCCCCAGCCCTCTGTTCACTCCTGAGCATTACTGGTACCTCACAGGTGCTCAGACAGCCGCTGGATGCAGATGAGGGAACAGCTGTGGACATTCAGTCCCTCAGACCACAAAAGGACTTTGGAAGGAGAAGAACCCTGGAAGAATGCCATGTTACTGGCGAAGGTTTGGGTTCTTACCCTAATGATTTGTAAACACAAAGGGACAATAGCGCTAAGTGATAGCAAAGCCAATCTAAACAGAATCACAGCAGTCAACCACAAGAACCCACAACGTTTCTTTTTTCTTTCTTTTTTTTTTTTTTTGAGACAGAGTTTTGCTTTTGTTGCCCAGGCTGGAATGCAATGGCGCGATCTCGGCTCGTCACAACCTCCACCTCCCAGGCTCACCCAATCCTCCCAGCTGGGATTACTGGCACACACCACCACACCCAGCTAATTTTTGTATTTTAGGTAGAGACAGGGTTTCACTATGTTGCCCAGGCTGGACTCAAGCTACCCGCCTACCTCAGTCTCCCAAAGTGCTGGAATTACAGGCATGAGCCACCGTGCCTGAACCCTAGTCGTCTCCTTTTTTTTTTTTTTTTTTTTTTTTTGAGACGGAGTCTCACTCTTGCCAGGTTGGAGTGCAGTGGCACAATCTCAGCTCACTGCAACCTCTGCCTCCCGAGTTCAAGCGATTCCTGCCTCAGCCTCCCCGAGTAGCTGGGACTACAGGCACGCACCACCACACCCAGCTGATTTTTGTATTTTTAGTAGAAATGGGGTTTCAGCATGTCGGCCAGGATGGTCTTGATCTCTTGACCTCGTGATCCACCCGCCTTGGCCTCCCAAAGTGTTGGGATTACAGGCGTGAGCCACCGTGCCCGGCCCAGTCTTTTTCTTAAAAGATCTGCTCACAATTCCAATTATTTGTGCAAGCCTGTACTAAGTACAAGAGAAAAGTGTTTCCTCTCAGCCAGGACAGAAAGTAGGAATCTTCCTCTAACTGCAGTCCTTTTCTATGGCCACTATAACAAATTACCACAAACTGAGGGGGCGTGAGACAACATACATGTATGATCTTACCGTTCTGGAGGTTGGAAGTCCTAAAGTCAAGGAATCAGAGCCGTGCTCCTTCCAGAGTCCCTGAGGGAGGAACCCCTCTGCTGTCCTGCCAACTTCCGGAGGCTGTCTGTGTTCCTTGGCACAGGCCCTTCCTTCATCTCCAAATCTCACCTGACCTCTGCTTCTACCACATCTTCATCTCGGACCCTTCTGCCTCCCTCTCATGAAGACCCTTGTGTCTACACTGGGCCCACCTGGATAACCCAGGCTAGTCTCCCCACATCAAGATCTGTAATCACTTCTGCAAAGTCCCTCTTGTCAAGGAAAGCAACATTCACAGTCTCTGTGGATTGGAATGCAGACCTCTTGGGGGAGGGGCATTATTCTGTTGATGGCAATAACCAGAGCCATTTCTTTTTCTTTTTTTTTTTTTTTTTGAGACAGAGTCTCACTGTATTGCCAGGCTGCAGTGCAGTGGTGTGATCTCGGCTCACTGCAACCTCCGCCTCCCACCCCCTTCGAGTTCAAGTGATTCTCCTACCTCTGCCTCCCAAGTAACTGAGACTACAGATGGACGCTACCACACTTGCCTTTTTTTTTTTTTTTTGAGACAAGAGTCTCGCTCTGTCGCCCAGGCTGGAGTGCAGTGGCGTGATCTTGGCTCACTGCAAGCTCCGCCTCCCAGGTTCAAGCAGTTCTCCTGTCTCAGCCTCTGAGTAGCTGGACTACAGGCATCCCACCCCGCCCATTTTTTTTTTTTTTTTTTTTTTGTATTTTTAGTAAAGACAGGGTTTCACCATGTTAGCCAGGATGGTCTCAAACCCATGGCTTCAAGATCCACCAGCTTGGCCTCCCAAAGTGCTGGGATTACAGGTGTGAGCCACTGTGCCCAGCCCCTACCATTCTTTTTAAAGCCTAGAAAAAAAAAAAAAATCACTTTCCCAATCTGCAAAATGGCTACTGTCCTCAATTTCCCCAAACTAATGCCTCTCAATTATGACCTCAAATCTGTCACCCTCCAAAGAGATAGCAGATGCCCTCAGGAAGGCCTTAGTTTCCCCAACATGCTTGGGTCTAAACCCACACACTCTGCCTTCCCTTCTGCTACAAGAGAAGAAGTGCACCGCTTCCCCCTCCACGCCCCCACCTGATTCCTGGATCCACCGTGCTTGGTCTTCCCACACATTTTGTTCTTGTAATTCTTCCTGTTCTTCAACTGTGTTCTCTCTGAGATTATTATCATTACATAAAAACATGCTTTAAATATCTCTCTCAGCTTTTGAAATTATTTAAAAAGTAGTTAAGTTGTACAATGTAAGTTCATTGACCACAATGGATTTAAGTTAGAAATCAATTGCAAGATAGCTGGAAAAATCCCCAAGTAAACTGGAAACTAAAAAATACACTTCTAGCCAGGCGTGGTGGCTCACGCCTGTAATCCCACTACTTTGGGAGGCCAAGGCAGGCAGATCGCTTGAGGTCAGGACTTCAAGACCAGCCTGGCCAACATGGTGAAACCCCGTCTCTACTAAAAATACAAAAATTAGCTGAGCATGGTGAAAGGCGCATCCCAGTTACTCAGGAAGCTGGAGCACAAGAACTGATTAAATCCAGGAGGTGGAGGCTGCAGTGAGCTGAGATTGCACCACTACACTCCAGCCTCGGTGATAGAGCAAGACTCTGTCTCAAAAGATAAATAAATAAGAATGAAAATAAAAATAAACTGAATGAAAGTGAAAACATATCAATGTGAGATGCCACTAAAGTCATACTAAGAGGGAATTTACACCACTTACTGCCTACATTAGAAAAGAAGTCTCAAATCAAAGCAAATCAATGACTTCCGCCTTTACAGTAAGAAACTAGAAAAAGAGCAAATAAAAGCCAGTAAGGAGAAGAAAGGAAACAAAGAACAGAACAGAAATTAATATAATCAGGAAAAGAGAGAGAGAGAGACTCATTATAACCAAAAGTTTGAGGAAAATCAAAACAATTGATAAACCTCTAGCCAGAGAGGTCAGAAAAAAATACGAAAGACACAAACCAATCTCAGAAAAGACAGGTAGCATCACTACCAATGTTAAAAGGATAAGGGCATATTATGAACAACTTTGTATCAATAGAATCAACACCTTAGATGAAACATATAAAAATTTTGAGCTCTTTCTCAATGACCAGGGCCTGCGCTTAGGCATAGACGGGCAAGTGGAGCCAACACGCCAGCGGCCCGGAGCTGGGTTTGTCGTAAAACTTATGTGACCCCGCAGAGACCCTTCGAGAAATCTCATCTCGACCAAAAGCTAAAGCTGATTGGCGAGTATGGGCTCCAGAACAAATGTGAGGTGTGGGGGGTCAAATTTACCCTGGTCAAGATCCACACGGCTGCCAGGGAGCCGCTGACACTTGACGAGAAGGACCCACGGCTTCTGTTCGAAGTCACTCCCTGCTGCAGTGGCTGGTCCGCACTGGGGAGCTGGTTGAGGGAAAGATAAAGCTGGATTACATCGTGGGCCTGAAGATCGATGATTTCTTAGAGAGATGCCTACAGACCCAGGTCTTCAAGCTGGGCTTGGGTAAGTCCATCTGCCACGGTTGTGTGCTCATCCGCCAGGTCATATCCATGTCCATGAGCAGGTGGTGAACATCCCGTTTTTCACTGTCTGCCTGATTTCCCAGAAGCAATCGACTTCTCCCTCTGCCTCCCTATGGGGGTGGCCACCCTAGCCACGTGAAGAGGAAGAATGCCAAGATGGGCCAGGGTGGGGCTGGAGCCAGAGATGACGAGGAGGAGGATTAATCCTGCTTGTCCCCTCCTGGGCTGGTGGATTGTCTAGTTTTCCTGCCAAGTGATAAAACAGGATCAATGCTTTATTTAACAAACTAAAATAGTGAAAAACAGAAATTAAGGTCACTCAAGAAGAATTGGGCCAGGCACGGTGACACAAGCCTGTAACACCAGCACTTTGAGAGGCCGAGGAGAGAGAATCGATGTAGCCCAGGAGTTCAACCAGCCTGAGCAACACAGTGAGACGCCCATCTCAAAAATAAAAATTAAACAAAAATTTAAAAATTAGCCAGGCATGACTGTGGCACACCTGTAGTCCCAGCTACTGGGAAGGCTAGAGGGGAGGATCACCTGAGCTCAGGAAATTAAGGCAACAGTGAGCCATGACTGCAGCACTACACTCCAGCCTGGGTGACAGAGAAGACCCTGTTTCAAAAAAAAAAAAAAAGAAAAAGAAATAGAAAACCTAAATAGCCCCATATCCTTAAAACAAGGTTCCAAATGATTTTATTTTTGTTTTTGTTTTTGTTTTGAGAAGGAGTCTCACTCTGTTGCACAGGTTGGAGTGCAGTGGCATGATCTCGGCTCACTGCAACCTCCGCTTCCCAGGTTCAAGCAGTTCTCCTGCCTCAGCCTCCTAAATAGCTGGGATTACAGATACATGCCACCACATCCAGCTAATTTTTGTATTTTTAGTAGAGATGGGGTTTCACCATGTTGGTCAGGCTGAACTCCTGATCTCGTGATCCACCTGCCTCAGCTTCCCCAAGTGCTGGGATTACAGGTGTGAGCCACCTCGTCCAGACCAAATGATCTTTAGGAGAAAAAAGGAAATACTGGGGGAAGCACAGTAGGAGATCACAGCAGGGGCCCACCTCCGGAACCTCAAGTAAGGACTTGAGAGAGAAGGTGGAGTCAGAGTAACAGAGACACAGGCCGGTTAGCCAGCTCTGCATGGAAAAGACTGAGTCGTGATGATGTCACAGTTCTCCCCAAATCTCAAAGTCACTGATCAAACAACTCAGTTTACACTGAAGACAATGGATGGGGCTCTAATTTTGTGCCCACAGCTTGACACACCTTTGGGAATTTGGTTTCAGTTTAACTTTCTTTGCCGGTACACAGATCTCACTGTGAGAATATATGATCAATCCAGATCTCTATGGATCTATATCCTCCTTGGGCAAACCTAAATGCAGACACTTTTAGCACCCATAGGAGTTAAGTCAGGATTAAATAAGAACATTCCCTCCCACTTGGGGGCATATTCACTGGGAATCCCAGAGCGATGTCGCCTGCCCACACCTGCTAGGTGTGCTCACAGGGCATCTAATTCCCTCTCCTGAGTTCCTTTTAAGCAAGCAAGGGGATCTATGTCCAGAGAAGCAGTTACTGTGTCTAAGTAAAGTTACTGCATCTTAGGAAAAGGCAAACATTCGCATTTTGCGTGCATGATGGGCGCACACCCAAGAAAATTACTCAGCACTTGTTTTTCTCACTTTGGGGTTTTCCCAAAATAACTTCTTCAGTCCAGCTGCCATGAATCTGGAGCCCCCGACTGACCCATCAAGGTTCGATTTGGCTTCAGACACCTCTCAGATCACCCTGCGGCTCAGAGCCCGGATCCTGAAGGGCGCAGCGTGGGCAGGGGGCGGGCCCGGGAGTTGGAACAGAAGGCACAGACGGCCCCTCCTCGGAGGGGAGGGACCGAGGCCGGGGCCTTGTTCTTTAAGACTCGCAGCGCTGGATCTTAGTCTGCGCGGCGGCATTGACACTAGCGGCATTGACACTAGCTGGGCTCCTCGGGGCGCGCCCCAGGTGGTCCGAAGCCTGGTCCGCCCTCCACGCAGGTGTCCCGCGCGCCCGGGTCAGTCATGTCGTCCTGCAGCCGCGTGGCGCTGGTGACCGGGGCCAACAGGGGCATCGGCTTGGCCATCGCGCGCGAATTGTGCCGACAGTTCTCAGGGGATGTGGTGCTCACCGCGCGGGACGTGGCGCGGGGTCAGGCGGCCGTGCAGCAGCTGCAGGCGGAGGGACTGAGCCCGCGCTTCCACCAACTGGACATCGACGACCTGCAGAGCATCCGCGCCCTGCGCGACTTCCTGCGCAAGGAGTACGGCGGGCTCAATGTGCTGGTCAACAACGCGGCAGTCGCCTTCAAGAGTAGGTGCAGGGCTTGGGTTGGGGTCCCCTGGAGCGCTCCGAGGGTGCGGGGCGGCCAGCCGCAGGCTCCCCACCCATCCACTTGAGTGACCAAGGAGGGTGGCGCCGGCCCCTAGGGATGCGCTCAGCCCACGCCTCCCGCGAGGCGGTTTTCGCTTTCCGTGATTCGCTGAGCCCCAGGCGGGCCCGGGCGACAGACACAGGGCGCCCCGCCCGCCGGCCTGTGTGGGCCTGTGCGCGGCCCGGGGCCCTCCCCGAACTGTCAGCCGCTGCTGTGTGCAGGAAAACTGGCCTCCTGGGAGGCGGCAACGCCCTGCTGGAGTTCATCAGCTTTCCTTCCAACGCAAGAAACATTTTCTCTGCAAAGAAAGTGTCACCGCTCGCTTTGGGCTTTCGCTTTCCTTGAAAGGGCGCATTCATAGATGCCCGGAGGCATTTGCTTGGGGAAGGAAATGAATCGCTACAACAGGATTAGCGCACACTTGCACTTGGTGGACTTCACAATTTGTGTAATGCAGAGCTTTGATAGGCTCTGACCAAAAGGAAGCGAGCCCTCTCGTTCCCTCCCCCGGGGAGCTTATGTTTGTTTTAAAACGTGTGTGTGTGGTCTTAAACGCATCTTCCTTAAGGAGAGGGGCGGGGATCAGATTACTTATTCTAACTACTACTGAAGAAAATTACAGGACGGGCGCAGTGGCTCACGCCTGTAATCCCAGCACTTTGGGAGGCCGAGGCAGGAGAAACGCTTGAACCTTGGAGGCAGTGAGCCGAGATCGCGCCACTGCACTCCAGGATGGGCGACAGAGCGAGACTCCGTCTGGAAAAAAAAAAAAAAAACTTACCACGGAGAAATAAACAGGCCGGCTTCACCTCCAACCAGCGGGGGTGGGGGTGGGGTGGGGGGGGGAGCCTAAGAGGGAGTGAAATGAAGGATAGGGGAGCAGAAGTCTCCACTCATCCCTTTGGCCCTAAGCACTCCGCATTGTACACGGGGACCTGAGACTTTCTTTGACCCGCACCGGCAACTCAGCCAGCCGGCTTTCTGGGAGCTGGGGTGCAGGAGTGGGGATTAACACCCCTAAAGCAGCCCTCAGCCATAGGCTGAGAAATTGGCGGATAAATACCCGGCTTCCTGGACGACAGGCGGAGGGACTTCCCCTTGCCTTTCAAAGTGTAGGGAATGGACCAGCAGCAGCTGCAAACCCGGGCACTCATGGCAAGGCAGAATCTCCCGCCTTGCCCCACACCTGCTGAATTAAAATCTGCATTTCCGCTGGACCCAGTGGCTCACGCCTGTAATCCCAGCACTTTGGGAGGTTGAGGCGAGGAGTACGGCGGGCTCAATGTGCTGGTCAACAACCAGCCTGGGAAACATGGTGAAACGCCGACTCTACTAAAAATACAAAAATTAGCTGGGCATAGTGGCTCACTCCTGTAATCCCAGCTACTCGGGAGGCTCAGGCACAAGAATCACTTGAACCCAGGAGGCAGAGGTTGCACTGAGAGGAGATCATGCCCCTGCACTCCAGCCCCGGCAACAGAGGGAGACTCTGTCTCAAAAAAAAAAAAAAAAAAAAATCTGCATTTCAACAGAATTCCCAGCTCCCTCCTATGCACCTTTGAGAAATGGTAGTCAAAGCCAAGTGTTCTCAAGGTGTGGCTAGAGACCAATAGCTGTCATATCATCTGGGAACTTAGCAATGCAAACTCAGGCCAGGTGCAATGGCTCACGCCTGTAATCCCAGCACTTTGGAAAGCCGAGGCGGGTGGATCACTTGAGGTCAGGAGTTGGGGACCAGCCTGGCCAACATGGCGAAACCCCATCTCTGCAAAAAATAAAAAAATTAGCCAGGCGTGGTGGCACGTGCCTGTAATCCCAGCTACTCCAGAGGCTGAGGCAGGAGAATCACTTGAACTCCGGAGGTGGAGGTTGCAGTGAGCCGAGATTGTGCCACTGCACTCCAGCCTGGGTGACAGAGTAAGACTCCATCTCAGGAAAAAAAAAAAAAAAAAAGAAAGAAAAGAAATGTAAATTCTGGAGCCCTACTCCAGCCCTTTGCAATCAGAAACTCTGATGGTGAGGCCCAGAAAGCTGTGTTTTAACAGGTTCTACAAGTGATTCGGATGCACACTAAAGTTTGAGAATCACTGACCTCGTTTCAAAAAATTGTTTTAAAATTAACTTTTTTTCCCTTTAGTTGTTAGGATCCACATTGTCATGTGAATTTCAGGGGGAAAAATATGACTTTTTGTTTGTTTCTCTTTCTGAAAGGTGATGATCCAATGCCCTTTGACATTAAAGCCGAGATGACACTGAAGACAAATTTTTTTGCCACTAGAAACATGTGCAACGAGTTACTGCCGATAATGAAACCTCATGGTAAGCCCAGCGTGTGGACAGTCGGGTTGCTTCCCTCAGTAAGAAGCGGGCCACAGGCTCCTCGGAGCAGGGCTGCCCTGCAGAAATCACTCGGGGTGCTAGTTCTCTGAAGGGGCAAAAATAGAAAATGGCTTCATTTTCCCAGTGTCTGGCTTCTCACTCCAACATTTTAGGTTTTGTTTTTTGTTTTTTGTTTTTTTTGCAGGGATGTGGGTGGTGGGAAGAAATTTTGCTCTTGTGCAGGCTGTAGTGCAATGGTATGATCTTGGCTCACTGCAACCTCCACCTCCTGGGTTCAAGCAATCCTCCTGCCTCAGCCTCCCGAGTAGCTGGGATTACAGGCACCGACCACCACCACCACACCCGGCTAATTTTTTATATTTTTAGTAGAGATGCAGTTTCACCATGTTGGCCAGGCTGGTCTCAAACTCCTGACCTTCAGGTGATCCACCCACCTTGGCCTCCCAAAGTGGTGGAATTACAGGCATGAGCCACTACGCCCAGCCTTAGCTTTAAGTTTCAAAGGTAAGTGTGACATATCAAAATGCTTTGGGATCCATGTCATGAACTCAATCCCAGAATGATAGAATGTTGCGAGTTCCCAAAGGCCTCTTGCCTCTGGTCAATTTCATGAGTCCTCTAGCCCTCCAAGGTGATGGGCCCACATCTAGCTCATCTCTGGACCTTGGTATCTATTCTAGCATTACAACTTTTCCTATATTCCTTTCTTCTTGTACCAAACTTTCTCAAGTTGATTCAGAAAATCCAAAAGAAGTTTTCATTCTTTTTTTTTTGAGACAGAGTCCTGCTCTGTCATCCAGGCTAGAGTACAGTGGCATGATCTTGGCTCACTGCAGTCTCCACCTCCCAAGCTCAAGGAATTCTCCTGTCTCAGCCTCCCAAGTAGCTGGGATTACAGGTGTGCACCACCATGCCCAGCTCATTTTGTATTTTTAGTAGAGATGGGATTTCACCATGTTGACCAGGCTAGTCTCAAACTCCTAACCTCAAGTGATCCACCCGCCTCTGCCTCCCAAATGCTGGGATTACAGGTGTGAGCCACCGTGCCTGGACTAGAAGTTTTCTTTATTAGGAAATATCTTGCCTATACCTGCAGGTGTTCAATAAATGTTACTATTATACTTTTCCTACAAATATTGGAGTGCCTGCCATATTCCAGGCATTATGCTGGGTTCTGGGTGTGCAATGGTGAGCATTATAGACAGGGACCATCTCATTTGTGGAGTTGAAAGTCTAGCAGGGGAGACAACCATTAGCAAAGAATCTGAAGTGTGAAATGACAGCTGGGCTGGGGGACAGGGAAGCTTGCTTCCTTGAGGATTTTCTTCCCCAAGAAGTTAACTGTGGATTCTTAGAACTGTGGTTCTTATTAAAATTGTGCTTTTTTTTTTTTTTTTTTTTTTTGACAGAGTCTTGCTCTGTTGCCCAGGCTGGAGTGCAGTGGCAGATTTCAGCTCACTGCAACCTCCACCTTCTGGGTTCAAGGGATTCTCCTGCCTTAGCCTCTTAAGTAGCTGGGACTACAGGCATGTGCCACTACGCCCAGCTAATTTTTATATTTTTAGTAGACACAGGGTTTTGCCATGTTGGCCAGGCTGGTCTTGAACTCCTGACCTAAAGTGATCCACCTGCCTCAGCCTCCCAAAGTGCTGGAATTACACGTGTGAGCTACTGCACCTGGCCAGAAGTGTGCTTTTCTTAATTTAACATTTTGAATAATGATTATTGACTGGGTGTGGTGGCTCATGCCTGTAATCTCAGCACTTTGGGAGGCTGAGGCAGGAAGATCACTTGAGCCCAGGAGTTTAAGACCAGGCTGGAAAACACGGCAAGATCCTCATCACTTTTAAAAAAACAACCAAACAAACAAAATTATCTCTGGATGCAAAAACTTGTTTTTTTTTTCTCTTGAGACAGTCTCCCTCTGTTGCCCAGGCTGGAGTGCAGTGGAACAATCTCAGCTCACTGCAACCTCTGCCTCTCAGGTGCAAGCGATTCTCCTGCCCCAGCCTCCCAAGTAATGTTGGAGCCACTACACCCAGCCGTAAAAGTTACAAGCTTGAGCCACTACACCCAGCCGTAAAAACTTCTTAACCTAAGAAGGTGAATGGTGAGAGATGCATTTGTACTCTCTCAGTTTCTTAGTGGGATGAGATCGTAGAAAGCCTGTAGGGAGAACTGCAGAAGCTTTCAAAGGGGATGGAGTTTCTAAATGCAAATCTAAGCCATTGTAAATGCACATTTTAAAAACTCTCCTTTTTACACAGAAGGTAACATTTCATACAATGTTCGCCACTTGGCTTTCTTTACTCCCTATGTCTGGGGCTTTCTCCAGATTTGGTCAGGAAGCTTTTATCTTTTTTGTGGCTGCATAGGGACGCAGCCATTGTAGGGATGTCTTTTACTCAGGGTTGGGAAGTTTTCTCCCGATAAATTTTTGAATGGGAACTTGAGAGCTGCAAGCTATTAAAGACACCTTTAAAACTCCATCCCCTTTCAGAGCACCTGCAGTTCTCCCCACAGGCTTTCTACAATCCCATCTTCCTAAGAAACTGAGCAAGTACAAGAGTACAAGTACAATTCTTACCATTCACCTTTTTAGGTTAAGAAGTTTTTGCAGCCAGGTGCGGTGGCTCACACCTGTAATCCCAGCACTTTGGGAGGCCAAGGCAGGTGGATCACGAGATCAGGAGATAAGACCATCCTGGCCAACACGGTGAAAGCCCGTCTCTAATAAAAATACAAAAAAAAAAAATTAGCCAGGCGTGGTGGTGGGCGCCTGTAGTCCTAGCTACTCGGGAGGCTGAGGCAGGAGAATGGCGTGAACCTGGGAGGCAGAGCTTGCAGTGAGCCGAGATCGTGCCACTGCACTCCAGCCTGGGCGACGGCGCCACACTCCATCTCAAAAAAAAAAGAAGGAAAGAAGGAAGAAAGGAAGAAAGAAGGGAAGGAGGGAGGGAGGGGGGGAAGGAGGGAGGGAAGGAAGGAAGGAAGGGAAAAGAAAATATCATAAGAATGCACTTAATCCTGAGTAACATAGGGAGACCCCATCTCTACACAAAAAATGAAAATTAAAAGTTAGCTGGGCATAGCGGCATGCTGCAGCTTCTCGAGAGACTGAGGTGGGAGGATCGCTTGGGCCCTGGAGGTTAAGGCTACAGTGAGCTATGATTGCACCACAGTACTCTAGCCTGGGTGACAGAGCAAGACCTTCTCTCAAACAAACAACAAAAAAATGCATTTAATGCATCTGACCTACCAAACACCATAGATCAGCTTCGCATAGCTTTAAGGTGCTTTGAACGCTTACGTTAGCCTATAGTCCAGCAAAGTCATCTAACACAAAGCCTATTTTATCATAAAGTGTTGAGTATCTTCTGTAATTTATTGAATCTGTACTGAAAGTGAAATGCAGAATGGTTGTATGGGGGCTCCAATCGCTTTCCTCACCCATCAGTGAAATCAGTAAGTCCTAAGTGGAACCATCAGAAGGGAGGGACCATCTGTATTTGACTTGCTTATTTGTTCAAGGTTCTGAGTAAATAGGCCAAGCAACTACTACGCCACTAGAGGGAGCAACTTGCCTACTCTTTCTAGAGTAAGGCAGCAGGTGTTTCGGGACTGGTGGGGCCACCTGGACCTCAGTGGAGGGTGGTGTGGGTGCAGCCCTTCCCAGGGCGGGTGACCCACCTGGCTGACGAAGCTGACCATCAGCCCTGGCCTCTCTCCCAGAGGTGTGCCCTCAGATCAAAGAGGACGCTTCCTCCCCTTAAGAGGATTTGTTTCCTCGAAGGCACAGCTTCTAAGATCTGTGTTTTCTTTCTCCCTTTCCCTTTTACATTTAATTCCTTGTAGCCACCAAGTTTTTGAGAACAAAGCTGTTTAGAAAGCAATGAAGAACACAACATCACTGATGTAGTATTCCTGGCCAAAATATTGATGTGACTGTCATCATGAGAAAATCAGACCAATTCACATTGAGAGAAATACTACCAAATAATGGTCTACAGTCTTCAAAAAAAAAAGGTCATTGCAAACTACTCTACATTAAAATATATGAAAGAGATGAGACAATTAAATGCAATCCATGGGCCAGGCATGGTGACTCACGCCTGTAATCCCAGCACTTTGGGAGGCCGAGGTGGGCAGATCATGAGGTCAAGAGATCGAGACTATCCTCGTTAACATGGTGAAACTCCATCTCTACTAAAAATATAAAAAAATAGCCGTGCATGGTGGCGGGAGCCTGTAGTCCCAGCTACTTGGGAGGCTGAGGCAGGAGAATGGCATGAACCTGGGAGGTGGAGCTTGAAGTGAGTGGAGATCGCACCACTGCACTCCAGCCTGGGCAACAGAGCGAGACTCCGTTTCAAAAAAAAAAAAATGCAATCCATGATCCTACTTTGGACCCTGGATTAAAACAAACAAAAACTATAAAAGAACGTTACTGGGACAATTTGGACACATTTGAATATGGGCTATATTTTAGATAATAGTGTCGTATAACGATAAATGTCTGGCATGTGGTCATAACTGTAGTAATGTAGGGGAATGCCCTTGTTACCATATATACTAAAGTGTTTAAGGTAAAGGTTTATGATATCAGCAACTTGGAGAGAAAAAGGAACACAGAGGGAAAAGCAAACATAGCAAAATATTAACAATTAGTGAACTTAGGTGAAGGGTATAGGGTGTTTATCGAACTATGCTTGCAACTTCTCTGTAACAGGAAAGAAATACATACATTTATTTCATCTTTGAAGGTGAGAGAGAGAAGGAAGGAAAGAAATACTGAATAGTACTAGGTATCTGGGGGGATGAGTGAGGTGGTAGTTTCCAAGGACAGAGTGAGGGTCTCT